TCAGTGTTCATCCAAGGTTTTTGATTCGGGAGTTTGCGTATCTTTTTAACGCTCACCACATCATCAGCACATTTGCTGATGTAGCTAGTGACTGCTAAGTCACTGCTAAGTTCACAAATATACTATAGCTGTTGAGTTATCTTCTGATCATTTCTTAATACATGACAAAGGCTGACAAAATGAATACAGTAGCAGTTCCATAGAGACCCTCTCCCTAAACATTCCTATGTCCTTCTGGAATTCTGCAGGAGCTTCAGCACATGCTGCAACATTGACAGATGAGTAGTAGAATTCTTGCCTTCCATGCGGGAGGCCTGGATTTGATTTCCACTGAAGACTTGTTGTAGAGTTGTGGGACAAACTTCCCAGGCATGTGGCTGAAACTTAAATACTTGTTTCTTATAAGATGCGATGCTTTCAGTAATAGGTAGTAGCTTAGATATGGCGTCCTCTCAGTTATTGTATATCCTTTATTATGTTCTCAACCACACAAAATGTATGCACATCTTAACAATTATAAGGTACAAAGCTGAATGATCAATCTACAAACAACATGATGTCTTCACAGAATCATTTAATCCAAAGCTTAATTTGACATTTCTATCTACAAAAGCCTATGCTTCAATAATAACAATAATAAGTGCTGTCCAATCACTGGATCTAAAAGTTTTGTCACAGTGTTATTCTGTCACATGACTAAATAGTCATTGGTTTAAAAATGATTCACTTGTATGCCATTATGAAGTCACAGTCAGAAGAAAAATAGAGAGCAGACTAAAGGTGGAGCCAGCCACATTACTTTTAACTTTTACAAATGTGGCATGTTTGTGTTGTGTTGGAATAAACAGTTTAGCTATCTCACAGATAGACAGGGTACTACAGTATGTTTGTATGGTTAGAGCTCCAGGATAGCCAGGTATTGACCAGGAACAATAAGGCCACAAAACGTCTTGAACACAGTGACATTCCTTAAGCAAGGATCATCCATAGTGCACTAAAAAGGTTTTGGGGTTTTCTTTTGATCTGTAAGAGATCCATGTAATCTAGCAATGCAAATTCCTAACAAAGATTTATCCAAGAGATTCCTGTTTAATCCCGAATGAACAAGAAAAAACATTCATACATTTTCAGACTATAGAAAATTGCATCTGTTGAACTTCCTTAAAACTTTAGCAGCTATTGGTATTAGTGACTGTAGCAGTCTTGCATGGTTTGTTTTCATTGTGGTCAAATCCTGAATGTTTTAGCCATTCATCCATCCATTTTCTAATCTGTTTATCCAATACAGGGTCACAGGGGAGTCAGAGCCTAGAGGTTTTAATTGAGTAATCATTCAGTGTGTTTTAATTACAATGATGAACCTAAATAGCATTTCGGCCTTGCAGTGCTGGGGTTCTGGGTTCAATTCTGAGCCTGGGGCGCCATCTGTGTGGAGTTTTTATGTGGTCTCCATGTTTGTGTGGGTTTTCATACCTGGTTTTCTCCCACAGTCCAAAGACATCCTGGTAGATCAATTGCTTCTAGGATAATTGTCACTGATGAGAGTGTTTTTGTGTCTGTAATGTGACGGACTGTTGTGCTGTCCAGGGTGTACCCAGACTTTGTCCACTGTTTGCTGGGATAGGCTCCAACTCCCCCACAACCCTAAATTGAATGAAACAGTAAGGAAATAAATGGCAGCATGGATAATAAACTTACTATTTGGATATAAAACTTACTAATTAACATTTTTGATCAACCCGAAAAACAACAGAATCACTTTATCATCCAAATTGGCATTGTTTCAGCGCAGTTTGGAATGAAGTGGACAAAGAAGAAGAGGACAAACTGAGGAGCATCTCTCCTGAAAGATTCTTTGTCATCAGCTTCACAGATGATGCATTTTGGCAAGAGTGGGGCAAATGGGTTCTACAGAGGTGTGAAGTGAACAGTGATGAGAAACTTGTGAACTTTCTTTGTAAAGTCTGTAATGTTTCCATTCTAAACCTGGAAATATGTTGGGTACAGCAGTGGTACACAAAGTTGAAACACCTGGTCAGATCCAGAATTGCTCAGTGCAATGATGACAGTATCCGAAAAAAACTAGAAAAGTTTGAAACAATTTTAACCTTTTGATTTACAGATCAAATATAGTAAAAAGCAAAATGATATGCAAGGCTCAGAAAGTGCACATCACATTTGAACAATTAAACAAATAAATCCCTACATACTGTATAGTACTTTGTTCCCTGTATTGTCATATTCTGGGAAAGTATTTTTTTTCTTTTTCAGTCTAGTGTGAATATATTTCTAAGATGGTATCCACCCTAACCAAACTTCATACTGTGTATGGCTTTAAATAATTGAATACCAGTCTTTGTCTGTTTAAAAGTTTAAACTAAATACTTTCAGACTCTTTATCTTCTGGTAAATAAGCAAAGAAGATCCAAGTTAATTACAGGGTTAATAATAATAATAATAATAATAATTGCTTACACTTATATAGCGCTTTTCTGGACACTCCACTCAAAGCGCTTTACAGGTAATGGGGACTCCCCTCCACCAATTTGCAGCATCCACCTGGATGCGACGGCAGCCATAGTGCGCCAGAACGCTCACCACACATCGGCTATCAGTGGGGAGGAGAGCAGAGTAATGTAGCCAATTCATAGAGGGGGATTATTAGGAGGCCATGATTGGAAGGGCCAATGGGAAATTTGGCCAGGACGCTGGGGTTACACCCCTACTCTTTTCGAGAAACACCCTGGGATTTTTAATGACCACAGGACCTCGGTTTTACATCTCATCTGAAGGACGGCGCCTGTTTACAGTATAATGTCCCCGTCACTATACTGGGGCATTAGGACCCACATGGACTGCAGGGTAAGGTCTCCCAGGTACTGACCAGGCTCACACCTGCTTAGTTTCAGTGGGCTGCCAGTTGTGAGTTGCAGGGTGATATGGCTATTGGCTAACATTAGTGACATTAGAATTTAAATCTAATTCGGTTATTACACACGTGATGTGTACATTCACAATAACAATGCTAAACAGTTTTATTTCTGTCCATCCATTGTCTAACCGCTTTCTATGTATTTATATTTATAATTTGCAATACAACTTTTTGTGTACTGTTCTGGTTTTTGTATATTCTGTACTGTGAGCAACTCTTTTTAGTGCACTTCTCACTGATTGTACTGACTGTATTGTATTGTTGTATCATTTCGTTACACTGTCCTGTGTTGACTGTGCTAAGCTGCTGTTGCACTGCAATTTCCCTCACGGGATCAATAAAGTATCTATCTTTATCCAGTGCAGAATTGTGGATAAAGTCAAAGTCCATTCTGGAAGACAACAGGCAGGAAACACCCTCGACAGGACATGTCTTCATCTCAGAGAACACACAAACATGCACGTGCACTGCAGCGAGCATGTTTGTTTTTTGGCCTTCTTTCACTAGAATAAGCTATTTCTGTTGAAGGGTCTGCAGTTGAGTAGTGTGTTCGGAGACTAAGAGAAAATATTCTTGCTAATAGGTTAGGCTGTATGGGGTAAACCTGGTTTCTGCGTTAATCTTCCAGATTATTTCATGCTCGCTTTCTGCTCTGCAAAATGATTTCTGTGTGATGTGAGTAGATTTGTCTTGCTTTTAGACTAGGTTTTTTTTTATCTGTAAATAGATGTCATTGGTGTGTGGTTAATTTGGTGCGACATGAATATAATGATTTCTTTTTTCGAAATTTAATGGTAGCACATATTTATTAAGAGAAGATGTTTTATTCATGTATCTTTCTTTTGTTAATTATCTCTTGGGTTTTTACTGTTGAAAATAAACCCCATGGTTTAGAATGCTGTGTCCCCTCTCTCTCATTAACACCACAGTTTCTTAGCCAAATTGAGAATCTAATGCTTTAGGGAACCACCAGACCTCAATAAAACAGAATTTCTAGACATCTAAGACACTAGGTGGCAGTCTAGTTAAATGTGCCTTTTTATTAACAAATGTATTGCTATAATTTATCAAAATATGATAAGAGATAGGATCACTTTATCAGCCATATACAATTTCTTACATGAGGCATTTGTCTTTTTCACATACCCCAGCTTGCTTTCCATTAGACACACAGATAGGGAGAGAGAAGCTTGGGGTCAGAGTGTAGGGTCAGTCATTTATACAGCACCCCTGGAGCAGTTGGGGTTAAGAGCCTTGCTCATGTGCCCAACAGAGTAGGATTCCTCTGCCAGCTGTAGGATTTGAACAGGCAACCTTCCAGCCCCGGATACAGAGCCTTAGCAACAGTGCCACCACTCCAAGTGTTAATAATGCTAACAAATCAACCTGAAGAGAATCTTTAAAATATCACTTTTCATTGTTTCCCAGATATGTTTGATATGTTGAAATAATTGATAAGTTATTTTTTGTATCTCAAAATTATATCCCATGCATTTTAATCATAAGAGCATGAGAAATGTTCATCAATGACCTTCAGGGCATTTGGTTGTTAGTAGTTTAGTAATTCGAAGTTCTCATCCACCTGTTTCAAGAAAGAAGCCCGAGCTGTAAGTTGTAAATGCACTTTCCTGTAGATTCTGTAGTTTCCAGTTGTGTCCTCTGGCTTGTGATTCACGTTTGATTCTAACCAAGTCAAAGAGACTGTTTTTTTCAGCGTGTTTCTGCATTCAGAGGACTTGCTCTTCTAGTTGTCTTCTATGTAGATATGCAAAAGCTGTTTCAGACTTCCAGTTTATTTAAGGCATCGCTCAAAGTGTGTTCTTATCCCCATAGAACATTATTCACCCAGTAATACATATTAGTAGCAGAACCCCCACTTATCCACAAATGATATCTAAAATGTTTTACATGCAAATAAAACTTTGAATGGAGGGAGAATAACAGGTCGATACTTCAATGTCCTGTTTAAAAGTAGAACTCTCTTTGAACCTAAATACTGTATATCAATGAAGAAAACAATTTCCGTGAGTAACAACTGGAGAATATAGCATTTTTTAGTTTCGTTTAATTTGCTAAAACTGCTTTATGATAGTACTTTTAGGAGTTTGCTGTCATTTTGAAGGTCGACGTTATTTATTACAAAATATGAATAATTACATTTGTAGGAAAACATATTTTGCAAAATATGCGCTCCCGTAAGATTTTATAACGGTAAGATTTCTTGTCTACCGTTCTGTTCTCTGAGTCAATTTTGCTTGATAAGAGAGCCTGAAAACGCAAGCTGACTGTTTGAATACAGTCTTATCAAGCCTTGCTGAGTCAAGAACGATAAAAGCGGGACGAGAATTGTTCATATTACCCGCGGGTAAAACGTCATCGAGTAGCGACAGTCCACTTCCTCAGAAAGCGCCTGAGTCAGTTAAAGGTAAAACATCTGATTGATGGAAACAAATACGCTTCTTTGTTAAAAGACAAATAATATACTGAAACTAAAAAGGGTCACAATTGCTTTGAAATATTTTAAGTTATTGTGTTGGCTTTTGTTAGTCAGTGAGAATTTTGGAAAAATGTGCGAAAGGTCCTTCTCCCTGGCCGCGTGAGGGGGAAATAGTCTGAGTTTCAAAGGATTTGCGGCGGACTGGTACTGTATGTGCTTGTGAGTACAAAATAAGAAGACTGTAATGTTTCGCTTGTGTTTCGTGCGATGTGGTAAAGACGATTCATGGTAATACGTCGTTTTGCAGTTTTGAATGAAAATGTTAAATCGCACGTTTGGTAAACTAGTGATTACTTTTAGAAGGGGCGTTTTCTCCGTTACTCGAGAGTGTTTGCAAACAAAATAACAGGACTCTTATGTGCAAGAATAGCACGGGTGTTGTTGGGCTGTTTGATTCATGCAACAGAAGCGTAAACAAATCGTTTTTGAAGATAATGTTTTAATTTTTTTCGCTTTAAACACATAACAATCCATACAAACTGGAAAGTTCTGTAGGTAATATTTAACCACTTTAAGAATCCGTTTAGAAATCGGTACTTTTATCATTATTTTATATATGTACCATTATTTATTTATTCTAAGATTATTATTATTTTTGCAACTGTAAAATCAGAATTATCCCTAAAAACTATAATGTGCTGTGCTTCGGGTAATGAATCGGTCATCTGGAAACGTCTTGATGTAGTTATTAGTTAATACTTACAATAAAGTTTTAATTAAAAAAAACACTCAATGTACTTATCGTGAAATTGTTCATTGTAGAATGCATGAGGAAGAATTCCCACGACATGTCATCTTTAGGGGGAAAATCAGAGATTGAGTTTATGCTAACCTTTCCGTGGAAAGAGCTAAAGATAACCTCAGCATACAGACACCAACTGTATAATGTAAGTACAGTACAGTAACTGAAAATAATTCTGCAATTTCTTTACAGTGGCAGAAATGATTGACACAGAGAGTAAACAAGCGGGAAGTGACAGCATCAAGGGGGACTGCAGTGAAAAAAAGAAAGAAAAAGAGAAAAAAAAGAGATCGAGAGTGAAACAGCTCCTTTCTGATGTGAAAAAGCAAGTGGAGTTTTGGTTTGGTGATGTCAATCTCTACAAAGACAAATTTTTAAGAGAACTTCTGGAGAAATCCAGGGATGGATGTGAGTGTTCTGTATTATCTTTGTCTTCCAGATTAGATTCAGCAATGTTTTAATCATTAAACCCTTCCAATGCACAAACGGCAAGTTAGAGATTTTTCTTATAATGTCTGTTTTTCTTGTATATAACACATATTCTAAGTTATAACGTAAAATGCATTCACTCATGTGTATTTGGTGTATATAGTGTATATAGTATATAGGGATACGACACAAGTGCCCATATACAGTACTTGCCTTGTTTTAAAAATATTTGTTACCGAGTTTAGAGCTTTGTGATGATTTACTTTGCCTTCCTGTAATACAAAGCACTTAAATATTACGTAAAGTAGTAAAACACTTTCCTGATGTTAAAGCATTCAGTGAATTTCTTGCACCACATCAGTATTTCCATTAATAGGTGGTCTAATGCTTGTTGCTTTAGCAGTTTCAAGGCAAATGTTTTTTAAGAGTGGTTCCGAACCTTGGGCCTAGGAGATCAGTCTATCTTCTGTTTTTTGCTCCTCCTGAGTTCTTAAATACTGATATTTGTGCAGGAGTGCTAAGACGTTTAAGGGGCCAGAATGAGGAAATGGCAATCTGCTCACTTTAATCATTCGACTATGCATTTTAATATACTTATGGAAAGACCTAAAGAGACTACATACTATAGGTGTGATTTATTTTTAAATGGAATAAACATGACTGTTTATCCTTGCAGTTCTTCTTCAATAACCTCTGTTATAATTCTTTACAGACATAGATATTTCTGTGTTAACTTCTTTCAACCGAATGAAAAAGTTGACAACTGATGTGAAATTAATTGCAAGAGCTCTGAAAAATTCGCCTGTAGTAGAGGTGAGTTGTTTTCCCACTATAAACCTTTTGTAGAAGAAATAAAGAAGTATTTACAGTGATATAAATGCCATTCAAAATCATGTCCGCTCTTGAATCTATGTTACAATTTAATCACGTCTTGATCCAAAAGACTGAAAACGCCAGTCGCAAATTTTGAGTGTATGAGCTTTAATATTCTGCGGCTTAAATCTTATTTTCCCCCTAAAGATGACATGTCTTGGGTCTCACGGGAATGCATGAGGGAATTCTTCCTCATGCATTTAAGAGATTGTAAATAAAATTGGACTAACGAAGTTGGTTAAAACATTTTCGAAAACGACAAAAGTGAGCTAATATTATTTTCTGAACAATTCCTGAATTCTTGGAGTTATATTTTAATAGAAAATGTTCCTCAATGTAGTCACTTCTCATGTCTTCCCTTACAACCTTACAGATCAGCTCAGGGTGTGTCTTCAAAGCCTTTAAATAATATTGTATGTTTTATAGCCTCTGTAAATATTTCCTTTAATCCTTAACCTCTTGACTTAGAGAAATAATGGTTAAATGTGAGGTGTTGTGGTGCATGTGAATAATCTATTCAATAATTAATTTCTTTAGGTGAACCTAGAAGGAACTCAAATCCGAAGACAGCACCCGCTTGGAGAGGACCCTAAAAATGTAGACCAACGTACAGTATACGTGGTTAGTTGTCTTTTTTGTGTTAAACTAAGTATGGTAAAAAGCAAACTTGTTGGACCTACTGTTATTCAGATTCCGGTGGTTCGGCTTTATGACCCTGACATAACTTAAAAGGATTCTAGTTCACAGACAGATTCTTCCTTTACAATATATTGATCAGCAAAACCAGCTAAAAGGAAGAAGCTGCTGCATAGATCAGACAGCCCCTATGGCTATGCGACAAGCATGCATCTTCTGCGTTTACGAGCAAAATGAATTACTCGGAAGTCCTGGGACCAAAAATGAAGTTTTAGTCCCAGATGTACATAATGCAAAAATGATAACAATCCTGACACTCCCAAACAACTAAACACACTTCTTCCAGTAAGGATTTCGGTCAAACCCTGGTTACAGTGGAGCAGATTTGAAGTAGTATCATTTGGTTTGAGTTGGCATACCCTGCCTCTCCTAGAGAATGATAATCCGGTCATGACGATGAGGCGGTCAAGCTCCCTCCCTCCTCTTTATGAAGATAAGTAAGATAAGTTACCGTAAATATCATCAGAAGCCAAAAAAAATGTTGATTGCATAACTATTCAGTTCTGTTCACTTCTTTCATTTTGGTTTTTTAATTTAAATGTGTGGAGTGCATGTCTAATATTAATAGCTGCTTCAGTGACGTGACTGCAAATTCTAACACATTCAAATATGAAAACTGCATGTCTGAATTGTTTTGCAAGGCACCGTGTATAATTATACAATAATTCCCTGTTGAGTAACATAGGAGAAAATAAGCTTAGATCTGGTTACTGTAATCTAGAACCTTCTTTGAGTTTTTATGAGCTCTTTGGTAAATGGTGTTACATGGTGTTCCAGAAGCTTGTTCATCAGATGAATAAGACTTTTGGTATGTGATGGTTTCAGAGATTCCATTTGCAGTGTGAGGTTTGAGGGTTCGACTGTTAGATAAGTTGAGCTGGCTCACAAAAAAAAATACCAAATCTTAATTCATTCAAGGTTTTTTAGTACAATAGTGAGGAGCTTTATCACATCCTTATCCACTGAGCAGCTTTTATCTTGGTATTTTTAAACAAATGGGATTTACGTAGGTATTGGTGCTATAATATCATAATGCTGAATTAGTTTATTGTATTAAGCAAGATTCATGCAT